GCCTTCTCATAAATCTGGAGACACACCTTAATCACTTGACCATGTTCTTTTTTAGCTCTAATAACAAGAGACTATTGTCAGCAAAGAATAAATGGAAGAAATAAGGGTCATTGCTACTAGTGGATATCCTTGGTAAGATTCCTAAACTCTCTCTATTTCTTAGAAGTCTAGATAAACCTTCACTGTAAATAAGAAAAAGATAAGGGGAAAGAGGATCACATTGACGCAGCCCCTTATTGGATTGATAAAACCCATCTACTCACCATTAATGATTAGCGAATATGAAACTGACATCACATATCACATTATCATCTGGATCCATTTACCATCAAAACCCAATTTATACATATTAGCCTCAAGAAAGCTCCATTCCAACATATCATAAGTTTTGCTCATGTCTAGTTTCAGGAAGAGAAATGCCTTACGTCATTCGCTCTTCATTTTAAGTTGATGGTTCAACTCATAAGCTATTAGAACATAATCTTTGATAAGCCAACCTGGAACGAAAGCACTATGAAACTCTAAGATAACCTTGGATAGGATGGCCTTCAACCTAATGACAACTATTTAGCAATCAACTTGTCCACTACGTTGCATAGGTTGATTGACCTGAATTGAGACATACTCTCTGGATGTTGGACCTTTAGAATTAGAACAATGTGTGTATAATTGAGCTAAGACATGGGTTTTTTGAGTTTAGGAAATCCAACACCACATTTGTTACATCACAACCCACAATGTTCCAGTATTTCTGGAAAAATATAACTCCCATACCGCCTAGGCCAACTAGGATGCATTTTATTGAGTGCCTTAGCAACTTCTAAAAAATAAAAAGGTTTGAATAGTTCATGATTCATAGCAGGAGTAACCTTCTGATCCATATACTGAAGAACTCTCTCAAACTCCAGTTGTGAGGGATACTCTGTGTTGAAGAGTCGTTGATAGTACCCAACTTCGATGTTTTCAATATGTTTCATGTCTGTCACCCGTACACCATCTCTATTGGTAAGTCTCTTAATAATATTTCTTTGTTTCCTTAGGCTAGCTTAGGCGTGGAAATTCTTTGTGTTTTTGTCACCATGTTTCATCCAAAGGGATTTGGCCCATTGTTTCCACATTGATTTTTTCACATCTAATAAACTGTTAATCTATTGGTGCAGTGCTTTAAACTACTCTATATTCTCCTCTGTCATCATATCACTTTGTACCCTTGCCAATGGCTCTCTAGACTCTCGTAACTTGATATTAATGTTCCCAAACTTGTCAGTCTTCCATTTCAATAAACCTATTCAACAGTGTCAAACATTTTGCAAGAAATGCTGCTTAGAGGATCCAAACCATATATTATTCTAGTTCTGTCATATAACTTCAAAACAAGATGGGTCCTTAGCTCACATTACCATAAACTGGAAACAGTTTTTCCTTGGTCTACCCTTCCCTAAACCTAGGCTTGAAGAACTTCTAAGGAGCAACTGACAATTATTTGAGTCTGTAGTTGGGACATGTTAGACATTGAAATTTGGGAACATAGAAAACCAAGATTGGCTGAGGTTCAACGGTCCATTCCACCATGTAAATTGGTAACCTATGAAACTTAAATCCATTAATTGGCAATCGTCAATTGCACTTCGAAAGACGTTCATTTTCCAATTGGATCTGTCAAGACCACCCAACTTCTCCTTATTACAAACAATTTCATTAAAATCTCCCCCAAAAACCCATGGGTGATTCGAAAGCCGACTTAAATTTCTCAATAAAGCCAAAGAATTCTTCCTCTGAAATGTGATTGGATGCCCGCAGAAACCCACAAACCTCCAAGGTTTACTTGGGACTTCCTTAACAACAATTTCGATATGGTAATCTAAGAAACTATCAACACTAACATGTAAACCCTTTTCCCACAATAATACAAGACCCTCTTATCTTCCCCTAGGCAAGACCAATCCATTGTTGAATTTGTTCAAGCTCCCTTGTGATTAGCTTGCTTTCCATTTCACTTATGAAGGGCTCGAATTGTTCGAAGGTTCCCAAGCCATCAACAGTTCCACAGAACACCTATTATTGCTTCCAGCGAGAGTATTCCACGGTCTTCGCCAGTTGTAATTCAATATAAGGGTTAAGTGTTTGAATATGTACATTCTTCTTTGGAGTTTCAACATATTCGAGCAAACTCCTATCGACCTCTCTTGGGCGCTTATATCCATCTTCTAATACTTTAATATTTTAGAGGCAATCCTTTTCATTCAAGACCATTTGTCTTTGCCTTTCCCAGTTGATGTCAGAACCATTCCTTCAAACAGATTGTGGCCTTCATTTAAACACACAGGAGTAGTAGAAGTAATCGGGCCTTTAGTTTTAACTGCATTCCTTCCACCTTTGGGCCTTTCCACTTTTTTACCAGGTTGTGAGCTAATAACAAGATTAGGAGTAACAGTGTTAATAGGACCTAAGACCATATTAGATAGATCCTTATTAGTTGGTGAATGCACACCATGATTTGGGTTCAATTTATCATCTAGCCCAATATCACCACCTTTCCACCTTTCTTCATTCAAAGGGTAATTAGCCTCTCTCGCATCTAAATCCACTCCTTTTAAATGATTGTGGCCATATCCCCCAAATTGTGCATCTCATCATAACTATGTTCATAATTACTAGAATCACGTCTATAATCTCGCCCATGAGTTATCTTCATGGCCATCTCCTCCTTAATCGGTCGACCCTCATTGAGGGGCATATATTTATGGTGCAAGAGAACCAATTTGGACTTAACAATTACGACATTCAACCACGGACCGTATTGGCTTTCTACTTTCGCATTCTATTCTACATCAACCTTAAACCAATACCAGTTTTTCTCTGTATGACCTAGTCCACCACAATATATCCCGAAGTTTGATACCATGCCATAGTGATATAAGAACACTGATAAAAAACTCCTAACTCTCATGAATTTGGCTCCCAATGATCTTGATGGCCATCACTTTGGTATAACATTCTGCTGGTAAGTTATGAATTTGAACCCCGAAATATACAGACTCATAAGGTCTGGATGCTCCAATAGATCCTCTATACCATTTTGTAATTATTAGAATGTTATTATCAAAGCATCACGGTCCTTTATTAAGAACTTTACATAGATCCTTCTCTTCACAAAAAAGAATAGGAAGGTATTCGATGCAACCTTTGAGATTTTCAATTCTTTACTATCCCAAAAAGAAGCCATAGTGTTCCTCAAGGCCGGAAGATTCACAACATTGTCTTCCAAAACCTTCACAAAAGTACTCTTTTCACATTCCACAAGACCTTCCTCAATATCTTCATTGCAAAAATCTAATATGACATTTTCTTCTTCTTCAGTTAAAGTAACATAAAGAAATTTGTTGATTATATCTTCATCCATTGTGGCATAGAAAATCAATGGGAAGGTGAATTGATAAAAGGGATAAGTCAGAAATCCATTGGGAAAAAAACAACTTCACCGCATGAATGAAGGAAAAGTTTCAACGATTGGAAAAAGAAAAGATTTGACCATAGGATTGTCGTGTTTGAGTGATTCTGGAAATAAAACCAAAGGGGAATCCAAATATAGAAGTATACTTTGATGATAGGAAGGGGAAGTGACTTCCATGAGAGGAAGAGAACAATACTCCTATAGAAAACCTAAGGAGAGAGTGTTCATATAAGGAGATGTTATTCTACATAGAAAATATGTTTTTGAATTAATTTTTTTATTAAAAATTATGGGTTTAAACTATCTTAGTTTGTTACTCAAAAAAAAAAAAACTATCTTAGTTTAATAAATAAGTTTCTATGTATAGTAAAGTTGTAATATTTTTTTTAAAAAGTGCATTTTTGTGATAATTAATTCCCAAATTTCCAAGTTATTTTCAAGTGTATAAATCAAGTTACATTTGATAGCATGAAAATGTCTAAAATGTTGGCGAAAAGTTAGTATAGTATTCTAGTAGGGGCAAACTACAATTTGGCCCCTCATCTATGCCCCTATCTTGCATGGTCCATCAATATTTAACACATTGTACCTACAACTATGATCGTTAGTCTTGCATTTGTCTCTCAAGTTTCAGGTTTCTCATATTGTACCCTTGTTATGACTGTTTGTTTTAGATTTTCATAGATTGCAACAAGTACTTTACTAAATACGGGTCATTTTTCTATTTATATCGTGATGAGGCAATATGAAAATTATTCAAGTAGTTAAGACAATATAATATTTAAGTGGGTCAAAATATAACTTTTCTATATTCGATAGAAGAGTAATATCACCCGTCACCTAGTAAAGATCATAAAATGGACTTAGATGATGCAAATTAAAAAACATCAACCATATCTACCGCCATGCAAAGATTGTATATTCAAATCATCAGGGAGGGTTTGGGTTAAACACTAAAGTGAGCTGTTAACCTAGGAGCTTCTTTCTCCGTTGCTCAGAGAATGTTGTATTAGGTAATCACTAATGTTATTGGAACATTGGTTGAGTATATAATTTGAGGTCTTAATATATTGTGGTCATCGGATTGATAGTAGACTCCATTGAATGATGTGACTTATTGATAATCTAATGACTACAATCATTAAGTCCGCTAAATACCAATAGCATTGTTCTTAAATAAAATGACAGTGCGTAGGTATAAATACAAAAGGAAAAGAAGATGAAAAAAGAGATGTAGAATATTAGTTCAACTTGTGTCTAATTCGAGGACCTAATTTGAAAAATTCATTCATTGTGACCATTGAATTGATGGTGGATATTATTCAATGGTGGGATCATTGCAAATCAACTGCATCATTGCATTAGGCTGTAAAATTATGCCCCCAAATTAGGCTTTAATTAAGTCGAACTATACTTTTATTTTCACTTGTCCCAATTTGGATGAACTAGTTAAGAAATTCATAATCTCACACCAAATATTTCTAAGATATTGTAGAGCAAATGTTAAAGACTCGCCCATATTTCACCTTAAAACTCACAATTGGAAATGCCTAGCGTAAATGGACTCTGTAATACAATCAAAATTATGCATTTTTTTTTATTTCCTAAAGATTAATATTCTACCTAAAGCTTACCAAAATTTATTGATCATGTTTGAAAAGCTAACTATATATAACTGTATTGATACTTCTTCCTATGGAGGTTTGCTTGAGATGGGTGTACGAGCAAGGAGTGAGTGTTCTTGTGAAAAGCTTTAATGAGGATCGGATGAAGGAAAACCTCGAGGTATTTAATTGGGCTTTAAGCCCTCAAGAGTCCCAAAGGATCCAACAAATATCACAGCACAAAATGTTTCCTGGACTCGGATTCCTATACGAGACAGGCCCTTACAAATCTGTGGAGGAGTTGTGGGATGAGACCATCTCTTAGGTTAATTATGTTATGCATTGTAATACTATGAACTAGTCGCAGTCTAAGGCTAGTAGGAATAGTTTTTTTTATCAACGTTTTTTATTGGGTAATTATTTGGATATTCAAGCGACACTAATGAGGATGGGGCTCGAACCCTCTCATTTCTTATTGAATAATTACATACACTTCTTGTCTTTTTAAGTTTAGGTCCAAATATACATCTTTTCTTCCCATAATCAGAATCATGGATTATTAATTTTGAGACAAAATACAATAATAATCTATAAAGTATGTACTCCATCTCACTTTATTTTTATACTTCTACTTGCAGCATTTTAGATGCTAAAGGTTTCAATTTGCTTTGACATGTTGCAATCTATGAAGGGCACTGAAATTTCTAGAGGAATGACAAATGTATGCTTTTTGTCCTTATTTTGGTCCATCATCTACCAATTTTATAGATTTATTTCCAAAAATTTTTATTTATTTTTAAATAATTATGTAAAATGGTAAAAGAAAATATCACACAAGCTAGATGGGCCATAGAGAACTTCCATGTGCGCCCCATTTACCATCAATAAACTAAGTAGAAATTTCATAATTGTAGGAAAGAAGTTTCGAAATCAGAAGTCAAACAAATTTAGGATTTATGATTTAGAAAATAAGGAATTATATTATTTTAGCTTCTTTATTATATTAATAACACCTCCTTGGAAGATGTAGTGAGAATTTTTTTAAGAAAATAATTAAGACTGATTCGTAAAATTTTTCTAACTAGGTGACATCAACTCGAACAATTTGGACCTTTTAAGATTTTTCCTTGGATGAAAAGACAATTGACAATCACACCGTGTGAAAGCAAAATGAAATAGCAAAGAACTAATAAAATAGGATTTCTTTATTAATTCAATTGAAAAAATTTTGGTTACAAAATGACTGAATAAATAATCTTGATTACAGTGCTAACTGTTTCCTAACACTAATCTAAAACTACTCCTAATAATGCTCAAAACGTAGGTCTTTGGACGGTTTGAGTGTATCATTTATCTTCTCCACTAAATACCCTTTTATAGTCATTGTCTTTGACGATTTTGCTTTTGTCGACAGTTGCATATTGGTAACTCCCAGTTGGTTACTCATTCTTTTCAAACATGGCTATGACTGATCATTTCTCGCCTTTTTTCAGTTTTTGCCGCATGCATTTCCATAGTAACTCTAGACTACTAGGTGTTAATAGACCAAATATTTCTAGGATTTAATATTTTATGTCCAAACAATGCCCCCCCCCCATTTAATTGTGTTTAATTGATAACATGAATAAATGAACAGTTGTAACCGTTGTTTTCCAAATGCCTACGTAAAAGATTTGGCAGCTCTATTGTTCATTTTACTGTCGTTTCCGATCTTTCTTCTTACTCTACTTTTGAAATTTCTCTTTTGAAAACTCAAGATGGCTCCAAAGAAACGAAATCTTCCATCTTCATCTTACATCCTTTTATCCCCCTTCATTATCTCTATTTGTCAAGAAGATTAATGCTTGATGTAGGAATGAATGCATACAACCATTATCATGTATCCAATATCTTACAAGAAGAGCATTGAAGTTGCATGATGAATCCACAACAAAGAATATTGTTGTGATCTTTCTATTGCCTACTTAGATTTGTACAGTCAATATTTCCCTTGTAGAGGATGACCATTTAGCAAAATTTTTTACTGTTCTATTAGTGTGATGTAGGTCATCAGCTTTTTTTTTTTTTTTTTTTAACATTTTCAACATCTTTGAAAGTAGGACGTTGCCCACTGCCCCATTGTCAACCATAAACTTGCTAACTGGTTGACCATCGATGTAGGCCTATTGTATAGTGGTCTCAAGTGCATGACCAATTCTTTCTTGGGGGTATGTAACACCACTATATCTGCCTCCAGGCTCCTTGTTCTGCACTTAAAGACCTTTCATTAGGTTTGAGTTCATTCATAGTTTCTATGAAGACTAACACCGACTTAGTGTCGTCTTCCACATCTTTGAGCAATTGATTTGATTGTCCTTTCTTACAATTAAATGTTTCAGGCAGAGCCACAATCATTACATGTTGTATCATCCATGAGGAGAGGCGCTTTATCCTCAAAATCCATAAGCTCTTCATCTGAAAGCACATCTTTGTCTTCTTCCACTTTTTCTTTACCTTCTGCTGATGGATTTTCTAGTATCTTCTTTGGTTCTCATTCACATAGATCCAAAATTTTTTGAATTTGGCAATCTTTTGATCAAGTATGTATTGAAAGGTTTGGACTTCTTTGATTTTTTTTTTTGTTTAGTGGTCCATGTGGGGTTTTTCTTCCTTGTTGATGGACTTGGTTTTGAATAGGCCTTAAGAGGATTAGAATCTCACCTACTCATCCAAGCAACAAACTTCCTTTACTCCCTCATTTTTTAAGTCCTACTAAGTGTTTGCCATGCTCCAAAATAGAATTTTGGATATTGTACATGGTGTCATTTTTCATCATGAACTTCAGGAGAATCTACTATTCTAGATCCAACTTTTATTATGATTTCAAATGTCCCTTTTCTTTTCTAGTTCTGTCTTTCCTAATGTTCTTGTTTCTTGATTTTTTGCCAAACCCTTTCTCTAGCCATCGATGGTCCAACAAAATGGTCCATCCTGTGCAGTCATTTTTTTCTAGCTTGTCCTTGGAAATTGGTACCTTTTGGAGTGCTTTGATTCTTAGGAAAGTAATAAGCACCATGTCCTTACTGATACCTTTCTGAAGTTTGAAAATCCTTGGATCTGTACCATAAAATATTTTTTCATTACTATTATAGGTATGGACATCTCGTTCTTCTCTAGTGCTGAATTGATGACCCTTATTTATAAATTCTCTCACCACATCATCTAGTGGTATAGAATCTAGTTTGACTATTTCTTTGGCACACTTAAAGTATATGACCAATGGCTCTTCCTCCTTAGCACCAAGCCTGCTATGGACTGGCTTTCTCATCTTAGGAACAATTCTCTCATTGCCAACCACCAAACTGTCAATCTTCTTGTTTTCCTGCAAATTAGCAGACACCATATTAATATTAATTTCTTTAGGGAAAGAATCTTTGTCCACATCCCTGGTTTATTCTTTTGAAGCATATTTAAGGATTCTCCTTTGGATTAAATTCTACATATGATTTCTAAAAGTAATGTAGTTCTTGGTTGAATGCCTAAATGAGTTATGTCATTTGCAATATATTTCTCGTTTCTACCTTTTTGTGGTGGGATATTATGTCCTTGAAATAGGAAAATAAACTTCTAGTTGCTTAACTAATCAAACAGAGCATCTACTATCGATGAATCAAAGGAATACTATCCATAGGTTGAGGGTGCAACCTTCTTGAAAGGATGACTAGATGACTTATTAACAGGATCTTCAATCTTTTTTAAGGCATCACATATAATTGGTGACTTCCCTATGAAATGTGCTACATCGATTTCAACTTTTCCATCGAAGTCATAGAAATAAGTCCCAAGTGAACTATTTTTCTTCTGTTGCTCTTCCCTGAGCAACATCTTATATCTAGTAGCTCTAGATGCAAGTTCAAAGAGATCTCTAAAGTGCATTACTTAGAATTTCTTTCTTAATTTGAGGTCTAAACCATTCTAGGCCAATTTAATTAATTCAACTTCAGGCAAGTAAACATGACATTTGTTTATGCCTTTTTTAAATCTATTAATATATTGCTCTGCAGGTTCGTTTTATTTTTGCCTTAATCTTAATAGATCTGCTGATTAGCCCCAAATATGCATAGTTATCCTACCATTTATGCGCTAATTGTTACGAGTTTAAACTTAATTGTATGAGATTAATGTCATATTTGATTATATCATGATTTAATTGGTGTTTGTCTATTTTGTAAGTGAAATGGAAATATTATGAGGCAAATAGGCAAACATGGGAGTGGACTACACAGAGGAAAGGAGAAAATTGAAGACTGAAGTTCAGAAGGCCACGTTCGGACATCATTTATCCATGTCTGGATGTGAGGTGTTGCATCAGAAGCAGAAACAGGCTGAGTTCGAACGACACTTATTCCACGTCTGGACGCGTGTTGAATTGTCTGTCATGTCCGAATGTCATAAAGCCACGTCCGGACAAGTGTTTTTGCTCCCAAACATTGAAAAAATCCCGATTGACTCAAGAATGGCTTCATCTTCCTCTTTGGGAAAAGTACCTTGGTACTTACTAGTTTAGTTTTGGGGTTTATACCAGTTTGGGTAAAATTCCTGTACTTAGATTAATTTTTATGTCTTCTTCTTCTTGGATGGCTAGCTAAACTCTCTAACTAAGGCTAGGGGATGTTTTAATACATTTGGGTATGTAAATTAAATCCTAGATTCTTCATTTAAGGTTTTCTTTGATAATTCAATCTCTCTTTTTTCAGCAAAGTTTTCTCTCTATATAAGCTCTTGAATTATTATGCTATATAAGTGATGAATGCTTGAAATTTCCTATGAGTTGAATAGCTAGATATACATGCTTGGGTTGAATTGTTGGGGATTTTCTTTAATTAACTGATTTGTTGGTTTTTATGAATTTGGGTATTTAATTATTCAATTGCTTAATTTATTATCGATTCTGGGCATTGTAAATACTTGTAATTGATGATTGGATGTTTGAATTCATTTAGATTAACTCTTTGATTATACAATAGAGAATTTCCTAATTAATATTGTCAAATCCTCCAATTGGGGAGTGGAGGTCACTTCCTAGTTGATTCCCAATTGAGATAGGAAATTAGGATTAATTTGGTATCCAAGTTTTATTGAAAATAATACACAATGCCTTAGTATTTTACCAAATTACTTTTATTAAAAAAATTTAGTTTATTTGTTCTAAATTCCAATTACCAAATGACTTTTTGAAACATTCACATATTTTCATTTATTAACCCCTTTTCACACTCCAATAATTCCTAACTCACTATGGATTAACCTTGGACTCTTCCAAGTTTTACTACTTGCTTGACAACC